TAATAATAATGACAATAATAATGTCTGAGACATTATGTTAATACGGTTTAAAACAAACAGATACAATTGTGAAGTCACAAAAATCTTTAATATTGGAATTAAGCACTATTAGAATTAAAACATTAAACTCTATTTCCACTGAGAAAACACCAAATGGGAAATGTCTCTAATTGAACATGATGATTTCTTGGGGCAATTTTTAGAACTTAGGTATTAATTTCAGAAGAAAGTTGTCTTCCTTACATGTGGAAAATATTGAGAAAAATTGCAAATTGAACTAGTTCCTTTAAAACGAAGCCTATTGAGAAGTTACTTGTTCAAACACGCTGCTTATCGTAACTAACTTACCGGCCAATAATCTTCACGTAGAGTAAATTTCAAATTATTTGTTTGTGTTTTCATTCCTTATTACCTCAACATCCACCTCAACATCCTTTATTTCTTGCTCATCCGTCACCTTCTCGTTTACTTCTTTATCAGGGACTTCGACTTTTTTCATATACCTAAGTGGCGTCAGAAGCAGACATGTTAATATAGGAGGTATCCCTGACAGCATGAAGAACGCTCTGTAGTCTTGAGTCTTGTCAACTATAAAGCCTGAAAGAAGCCAGAAGGAACCAAATTACATCAAGGTTTGTATGTCATTTAGATGAAGTCATTTTCTGCAGGCCATAACATTTTTTTTGTCGAAACATTTTTCTACTCCAACGAGTAAAACTCATCATTTAAAGAAAATGCATCTAAGTAACCACTATTGTATTTCTTACAGATAGCAAGAAAAAGGTATTTATAAATTTCATGACCTCATCAAAATGGCAAATCAACATGCATTCAAATCTAATTTTTTTGTCAAAAATCATCTTAAAGTGTAAAATTTTTTATAAAAAGGATTGTAATTTTAGTTTAAAAAAGAATCCATTCCTACGGACAGAAAATTTCCATATTTAAAAAAATCAAAAACGTTAGCTTTCAGTAATCACGCAACGCAAAAAATGAATTTCAAACAACGCAACGCAAAAATCTCGCGAAGTATGGTGTTAACAAGCTTATGCAAATCCTAGTGTCTAGTCTCCTCCTATTTCTATCTAATAGTTATATTGATGTGCTTGCATCGCTCGCGTTAGACGGCGTGTTTCTCTTCTTAATGCTGCCTTTTGACGTAAAACTAGGTGGAATTTGTTGCTCATGCCTTCCAATAGAAGTAGGCAATATTAAACTTTTTGGCATGCTTTTCATTAAATTCGACAAATTGAAAATGCACTTTAAGAATGGCTTGGACAGCAGAATCAGGGTCTGGGGGCAACGGGTGCAATGACATGGTTGATCTCGTTTTCATCCTTTGGTGATTACGTACATGGCAACTTTTGAAGAAGTCCGTCACTTATGTAGTATCCTCATTTGAAAAATGTGTACGCTATCCTACTGAAGACAGGTAACCACATTACTTTGGATCTTTCATGAGCTTTTTCAGAATCCTGACTTTGCCAGCCCTAAACGTTTAAGTTGCTGCATCGCAGCCTGCCATAGCATGGAAAGATGGAAGAATGAGTGTGCTGGAGTTGTACACTCCAATAGGCTCCGCACTGCATTGAAAATGTATGAATTTACTGTTAGCTTTATCGGTGATCTTACAGCTGCAAAACCATCTACAAGCCATACGTAGATATTTGGTACCACTCCAATTACACATCTTACGTTACCCTGGTTAAAAGAGTCTCAGAGAGTCAATGGCCTCCGCTTTCCTTTCCAATCCACTTTGCCATTCCTTTTCCCGATCTTTATCTTTCGAAGCTAAGGTAATTCAACGCGGCTCCTAGTGCAAATTACAGTTTCTAAGTTGCTACCCCTTCGGGAAAATTTTAAAAACAGCTACGCAGTTGCTTGAGAAATGTCCACATTCTCTTATAAATAAAAGCAAAAATAAAAAGTATTGCTTACAAATACCTAATAAAGGTGGTCCAAGCATCATGGATACACTGCATGAGGTGTAGACCATTGCAAAGCCTTCGCTCATGTACGTCATGCCGACTACTTCCCTAACAACTGGTGCAAAAGTAGATTGCATTTGCCCATCCAGAAAGGAAAATACCCAAATATAGACAATCAAGTGAACTGGGGTGGATGAAAATGATCCAATGACTGCCGACAACCCATTTAGAAGCAATATAGACTGGTAGTAGTTGATTGTTTTGAATTTCTTGCTGTCGACGATAAAGCCAGAAATAAATCTACCACAACCCATTCCAATCGCCGAAAACACAGGGAGCTGTCTTGCTAAATCCGGTGAAGTGCCATACCCAATTGCTAGTTGTACCTTTAAAAAAGCGAATATGAGAGCACGATATATGTCTATACACTCTTGTTTTATAAAAACTCCCTATATATATAATACAGTTCTAGGTGAACGCTTAAAGGCTCTTGCGCAACCGGCACGCTTTATGACTATAAATAGCTAAAAAGACCGGCCTAGGGAGATGGGGATTAAGAAATGGCGAAGCTGCGGAGAATAGGAGGGGGAGGGCGGAGGAGAAAAGGAAAGGGAAAATACGCTGTGCCCCTATTATCTTCCTCCTTCTCCCTCGCAGGCCCTTCATTTTTTTCTTTTCTTCAGCAGTTCCTTTTATTCTATTCTTCTTCCCTCCCGATCTCCCTCCCCAAAAGACTCTGCGGAGGAGAGTAGTCAATTGCTCAAGACAACTGCCGCTAAGCATGCCGGTTACGCAAGAGCCTTTAAAGAATAGAGAAATCATGTCCTATAATACATATCAAACTTTATTCGGATCAGCCCGTATATCAACGTGATTATAGTAATAATTTCATTTTAACTTGAAATTAAATAATATTTAATATTTAATAATCATATAATATTTAATTTGCTGATGTAATGTTTTCGAAGTTTCAATACGGTAAAATTTCTAAGTTTCTTACATCCAACCAGTTAAAGAACACATTCATATAAAAAGCACGGTTGTCACTTTTCACGTTTGTAATAAGAGGAAACCAGGGGGGGGAGGGCAAAAGGAAACAAATGTCCCATGGTTATTAGCATAAATATAGGAACTTAAGAACAGGTCAGTGAGGTATATATTCACCTCATTGGTTAAGCTAGGTAAGTCAAGCTTTGAATATGAGGCTGAGCAAGAAAGTGGGCAACATGTTCAGATTTTCTTAATGGCAGTTATGTGACGAAACTTGAAGCAAGTTCAAATACGCTCCATTTTACGCAATAAGTAGGGCCTTCATCAACCAATAACAAAAATTGCATTAAAATGTTATTGGAAGGATGTCAGTTAGGAAAATGGAAGTCTGGGGATCTTTGAATTAAAGCTCCCGCAGAAAAGCACATGCAATGAGCATGGGTCATTTTCGTTTAGGGGTGCTACACTTTGGAATAGCCTAGACACCGAAGCAGACAACCTCTCTGATTAGATAGAAACTTTGCACTAAAAATTATTTTTTTAATACCAAACTTAAGATTTTATAAAATTGTAGAAACATTTTAAGCCAAACTTAAAAAGTGTTAAAAAGATAGAAAATAGAATGTTGTTGAATGAATGAAACTAATGAAAATGGATGAATAAATGTTAAAAACGGAAATTATTTCTATTTCAAGCCAGCTACAAATAATTTGTATTTTTAGGTTAATTCTCAGGACCTATTAATAACAACTATTATTATGATTCTTACGACAAGCCTTTTGTTGAGAAATATTAGAAAGATTGAATGAGAAATAGAACTGCGAGGTCAATCTTTGCGCCAATAAGGTCATATTCGATTCATGTTTCTATTACACTAGTACCCAGGCTCCCTGCGTTGTCTTCAATCGAAATGAAATGAATTGAAATGATATCTTATCGTGATTACGGCAAAAAGCCTTCATCTAGTTTGTTTTTATCACAATTATCCGCCAGTAGAAACCAGGACTGAGGAGAATGACATTTATCTTGTTTAATCTAGATTCTTTTTGTGAGATGAAACTTTTCAAGTAAACTAAGGAGCTGTTTCTAACCTTTAACTACTCAAACCCTCTTACCTACCTGATGAACATTGGAAACGGAGTAGGAAAATGAACACACGAAAATTGCAAACAGGTATAGGCAAAATGCTTTGTTTTTGAGCAGATGAAAGTACACGTTGAGTCCCTTCTTTTTGGCAGTATTCACTTTCTCATCGCTTTCGTAGGTTGTAGGAAAAAACCCTTGTGATGAAATCAAACAAACTAATGTCATAACCGTTGCTAGAACTTGAAATGTTCTTTCTAATGTGAAGTTATTCACAAGCCATATGATGATATAGGACAAGCCAACTTGAGCAATACAGCATCCTCCAGTAAGCAAACCTGAAAAATGAAGGGCGATACAATAAATGAAAAAAGAAGGTATACCGATAAGGGATAAAATTTAAAAACTAAGACCAATGTAATTGAGGTTAATGTGTGGTTTGAGATTATCATATTTCTATATGTTCTATATAAAGTAAGACTGAGGAGAAATCACATCTTCAGAAGTTCTGGCTGTGCTTTCGAAATGGGTCAAACATGTTGGAAATCTTGAGAAATCCGAACAAGAGGTGGAATAACTTTGAAAAAAGTTGGATATCTTGATAAATCTGAACAAACAATTCGGCAACTCAGTTCAAAGGGCCAATCCACTCTTGTAAATAACGCACGAGATATCCACCAAAACACAGGATTTCTAGAGACTTGCCAAAAAAAGATTTCTGCCAAGGTTGTAAGAGATTTCCTGGAGTTATTTGGCCTTCGTGCCAGTCGTGAATTTAACAAATTGGAAAAACAAGTCGGAAATCTTGACAGATTGGGACAGGCAAGTTGGAAAATTTGAGAATCTGGGACAAACAAGTTTTGACAAATCGGATTTTCTCGGATGAAAAAAAAGGATTTTCTTTATTCATAGTTTTTTCCTTGTAACTCACCAAATGCAGTTGACTGCCTCTTGTCAAAGTAGATGCAAACGGCTTTGCTGACAACCATAAGCATTAAACAAGAGGCTAATCCAAAAGGGATGCTGAAGGTGAAAAAGGCTCCATTGATATTGGTTATGAATGACGTCAATAGAAGAGAGAGTCCCAACGGGATTGCTGTTGCTACTACGGAGACTCCCAAGCTAATCTTGTTTAGGAGCCAAGATGCCAATGGGGCCAAGAGAAACATCAGTGAAACTGGAATTGAGCCGACCCATGCTAAGAGAGATAGAAATTCATCACATCATTTTTCAAAGTTAGACTGCAGTGTTGAAACATAACTACGGTGGCCCATAACTGCCACTCGCTAAATTAAACTGATTCGCATAGATCTCTATGTTCGCATACAAACGCACACAATTAAAGCGAGACGCAGAAGAGAAAAGTGATTCGCAAAAAATTCAAGCGAGTTGTGCAGACAGAAAAGAGACTCGCACAAAATTGAAACTCGACACACATTTTTAGTTTCAGTCACACGAAATAAAACAAATCGCGCATAAAGCAGAATGAGTCGCACAATTAGAAAGTGGTCGCGCTTATGCGTCAAACAGTGGAAAATAATTGTAATCTAAACCAGCCTTAACGAAGCTCGTTTGAAAAGAAGCTCGTTTGTAATAGTGTACTTTTGTGGTTTCTTATGAAAACTGTTACCGTATTTCCTCTAATGAACGCTGCCCTCTGATAAACGCCGCCCTCTATTGAACGCCGCACATTTCTAATGAACGCCGAACCATTTGGAAAAAACGCCGCCATCTGATAAACGCCGCCCTCTATTGAACGCCGCATTTTTTAAAGTGGCGTTCATTAGAAAACACAGCAAACAAGAAGTAAGGTTTATGCGCTTACTATTCGAAAGCCATGAAAGTTTTTATGTCATAGAGACAAGGACTCTGACGGAGACAGGGATATTGACATTACTTGACTTGACTTGACATTCTTTTTATCTTTTTTCATCACATTTTCCTTGTCATTTTACATTTGACAAACTTTTTATTTTGCATTGAATGACGCATCAAAAATTTGGAGTTTGTAATAAACGCCGCGGCGTTCTTTAGAGGAAATACGGTAGTGCAGTTGCTGCTTTTTCCGTTAAACCTCTTCTACCTAAGGAGGCACTGATTTGAGTTCTTAAAAATAAATCTTAAAATCATTACCACAAAGTTTGCTAAATTTTTATGGCATGTGCTCCAGATCTCTACTTTCAAGTTAGGGGTCTGGAACACAAGCAAAATATTGGGGGAATATCATACACTTATTTTATACAAGAATATAGTCTATAAGGATATTAAGGCTCAAATTCGCTAAAATTAAAGAAATTATTTAAAAATAATGCAAGGATCAAGCTTTATCAAGAATTAATTTTTTTTTGATTACTTGAGTTTTTTGGAAAGAAAAAAAAAATGCAAGTTTTGCACTATATGTTAATAGACGTATCCTTTCTTTGAGTCATTTGACTAATACGACTCAGTTACACCTCGTGTTCCTTAAGAATAGTGCAAGAATTATATTAGCCTCGAAGCAAAAGAAATTAAGAACATTAAGGCAGGGCACAAAGTTAGGTATTCTTATAAAAAAGTGAGTAAGTCACCATGCGTGTTACGACACTGGGTTACCTTACGGACAATATCACGTGACATTTGCATCATTGTGCTGTGATTGCATCAGCGTCTGTAAATACGTTTTTTTGCATTCCGTAATTGTTATTTCAAGGTTCTGCTAACGGTATATAAAGGGTTGTTTCATAAGTTAGGTTTAGTCTTGTCGAAACTTTTATCGTACTGCTAGAAGCTCTGTTGATAGTTTTGTAGTGCATGTTGAAGCCATGTTTCTCCCCCCCCCCCACTTTTAAGAGGTTTTACATACGGGTCATTGTCTATTGATTTTAAGACATGAAGACATCTGAATTGCATAAAACGTTTCACCCCTCTAAATATTTTACTTGAAATATCCTATTAGGGGGCCTATTATAGGTTTGCGGCTTCACGGCCATGACCCCATTTTAACGAGCGGCCTCCGGATTTAAACATGGTTTATATACGGAATGCGGTTTCAACAAAAGGCGCGTCTCGCGTCTTTCGGTAAAAATTCGCGACGGTTTACGGCTTCTATAATCCGGTTGCGGCTTTCAAATGAAATAACGGTCCGCGGCCCTATAAGAAGGGACGACATAAACTTATAATTCATGATGATATCTTACAATTAATTCATATTTCAAATTACCAAAGCAAAGTATTTCGAAATTGTCAAATGTTCCATTCCATTCCTACAAGTAGAACATTTTAAGGTGATGTCAGGACACAATGGACCGATTCATATACAAAATGGACCGAGTCTTCAAAACCAAACTTTGCAGATAAAAATATTGAAAAAGTATGAAGAATATGTTCAGGAATAGTCAAAGGGCACCGTACTTAGGTAAAAATAGGCAATTGATTCTCTTTGGAACTTTGGAACTGTGGTGATCATTTGGTATTTTTTAGGGGAATCTAAGGACACTAAATGAAATATCTATCTTTTTTTTACTCAACTTGTTTTTGGGGAACAACTAAAGAAACTCGAAAAAGATACATATACCAAAACTGAAAGTCTGAAGTCCTTTGCGTGGAGGGTACAACCTGAAGGGGCTAGTTATAGACATGCCTGGGAGAGACAATGTGCCTGAAGGATTTTTGAACTTTGAAATTTGGGACATCTTCTTTGGCTCTACTAACAGTCTTAGATGCATAAGATAGCAAGAAATAATGCAAAAATAAAGTTCATGCGAAGCTAAACTAAGCAAAATCCACTCTTTCGATGATCTCAAGAGAAAAACGTTATAAATACTAGAGATTGACTATATGTTTCTAAAGAGTAGAAATTTAGTTGTCTAAAGGGTACTCATCGAGTGTGAAAAGAGAGGAGCTGTAGAGGGCCAAATTCTCTTTACGGTTGCGTTCACGTGGCTTTTCATAATATTTCCTTAAAGTTTGATCTAAGATAGTTATTTCGTCTTGCATCAAAAACATAATCTCTAATAAATTTTAGCATTGTTTATTGGTGCCATATTTAATTAAAAAGTATGGCCAGAAACAATATTTTCTGACCTTATGAGAGATTGGTTACTTGCTTCTCTCAAGTATACACCAGTTCGACTTGCGGTCTCGTAAAGAAATTTTCCAAACTTCATTATACGACGTTTTTATGCTCAGATTTGGCTTTATCATCATAATTTTATCTGGATACAATTTTTTCACATTGTTTGTTCTTGTATTTTAGATTTAACGCAGAAATGAGGCTGTAAGTTGAATTGGTGTATTACGTGCTTCGTCTAATTTGTTTAGAATAAAAATAACTTCGCGGGAACCATGTCTAGCCTCAGATAATAAAAATTAAAAAATGAACAATATCTGTTTAGAGATTTGAAGATTTAGTGGACAGATTTTATCAGGAAATCAATGCTGCGACTTGAATGGTTTACAAAACTGTTGCTTAGTGGTCTTAGAAAGAATTCATGGCATAAAGATGTTGAACAATTAATGTAGATAAAAACACTTTTATGATGCTATTTGATGTTCTCGTCTATTTTGTTGAGATAATATAAGCCAAAACTATTTGCGGTAGATTCTATGCTATTGGCATTTTTACTAATCGTGAAGTATGAAAGCAAAACTGAGGTGCGGTTTTCGGAAAATCGAGAATTTCCCAACATTCGGTGGGCTGCAAACGTTCTTGCAAAACTTTTGACCTCTTGCAAACTATGAAAAACAGTGTACCAGACCATTTTCAAGTGATCAAAATTTAATTGGTATTTTTACCATTTTTCTGCGGAAAGTTATTAAAGGAAAACCGGAGGGCTGTTTTGCTCGAATCGTCAGAGGAAGTGTTGCGAATCGTCAGAGCACACGGCCCTCCCCTCAATCTAAAAATTGTCTCTTTGGAGCTGGGTAGTGAGACTTTTGCTGTTTTCAAGCGACTGTTTTGGGATAGTTTCGCGACCATTTTGGACAACCAAATTAATAAAATTCTCTTTTTAGATACCTGCTACACTGTTTTTTCATAGTCTGCAGTCGGTTTACGCACTTTGTTGTGTTTTTATTTTACGTCGAAAGTAGGGGAATTTTGCGAAAGTGCAAACTCCGCCTCAAACCACGGTTTAGACTTTAGGCCCCGTTCACACGGGAACGCAATCGTTCCGTTCCATTTTTGTTCCAGTTTCTGAACGAAAAGGTATACTGTTCACACGGTAACGGAACGATTGCGTATCGATTTTTGTTTATGTTCAGACGGGAACGCAATCGTTCGCCTTAGTTTATAAGTCGTGCCAGGCGCCACTCCCAGAGTCGGTTTCAATGTTGAGTGGTTGAATATTCATCAAAACATTGGTTCATTTCTGTTCTTATAAAAATTACGTTTTATTTGTCTTGCAAGGACTAGGAAAATGAGATTGACACCTTCCCTTGACACCCTGTTTAAAACCACTCGGCACATCAACTGCCGTCAATTTTTTTCAAAATTGTTTCTGAACCTTTTACCTATCCAGTCTTGAAAATGATGCCATTACCTAAAGTTAACGGCTGTTTGGGCCAAAAACCCGAGATTTATAAAAGTTTTTAAATTTCGTTTTTATCGACATTCGGGGGACTGAAAATGTTCTTGAAACAACTTTAACTTCTTACAAACTATAGAAAAAACAGTGTAGCAAACTGTGTTTTATCGATTAAACTTTAAATGGTATTTTTATAATTTTTCTGCAAAAAGTTATTAAAGGAAAACCGGGAACTGTTTTCAGAAATTGCACATTTTGTCAAAGTTTCCGAGACTTTCGTATTAACTGGAATTTTTATTTAACTATGGAAGTGTGAAAAAACAGTAAAACTATGGTATTTGTGATGTTTAAAAATCAAATCGGTCCTACAGATTTAATAAGTCAAAAGTTATTAAAGGAAAACTGGAGGGTAGTTTGCGTGCGAATCGTCAGAGCGAATCATCCGAATCGTCCCTTCTCAAATATAGCTCTTCTCTAATGTTTTAGCATAAAAAATTATCGGCATCTCCTCGTTGCAATGAAAAGAAGCATGCTTAGTTTAAGCATATCGTAAAATAATGCCACCTACCTGTTTTCTCCTTTGAATCCCCAAATTCGTCTAAGAATGAATTATAGAATATTCCAAAGTTGCAGAGAAACCCGCTCGTTGTAAAAAGAAGCAGAATAGATGAGAGGAGAGCTACCCATGACAACGTTGAATCTCGAGCTTTGACTGTTGTCTTCAATAACTTGGCGATTAACATGGCTTACAGGTAACAGGTCTGACGTAAATAAATAAGAGTTTTTGAATAATCAGCAATAGGTAGCCATCGATCCGCTGCCTTCGAACTATTGCAACACTTGCAGCAGTAGCACCCCTCCAAGGCCTTTCAATGGCACGCACGAAATAACAACCTGTTCGTGATGCCTGTGGAAACTGACAGTGGTTTAGGATTACTTCCTTAGAGCATGTGGAATGGCCTGGACAGGGGGACCTGTTGCAGAAATAGCAAAAATGACATCGTGCTTTGACGAAAATACTTTGTGATGTGAATAGGTTGCCTGAAAGTTTTAGATAACTGCGAAATCTCAAATAAAAAGCCTAGTAAGTAATAATGCATTCAATCGAATTCGAGCATTCTCTTTGAATATATTTCTGCAGGGCCGGCCATGCCCCCCCCCCCCACTTTTCTGCAGAGCTAAAGGAAAATTTTAAGCAAAAGTGGAAATAAATGTTGTACATGATTCTGTAAGTAACTTTGTCTAGTCTTCTTTTAAATGTGTCCTTGGTTGCTATGTCTTTACCATAGATAACATACATAAAATTGAAAATGGGAATTGGATCGAAGAAATCGGTCATTGTCTAAGTTTTACAACGAGTAACAGCTTGGCTTAGCAAACAGATCGAGAAACCTAGTCCATAATAACTTGGTGCCAGCACAAATTGACGGAGTTTCGTTTTTTCCGTTGCCTAAACTTGGCACAAAAGGTCTATTTGTTAGCAAAAACTTTCTCAGAAACATTTCAAGAAGAGAGAAATCAGCTGTTGAAGGAAAAGAAAAAAAAAGGAAAGAACTTTTTTTGAGGATATTAGCAATAAAGTGAGGGGTGTATCACTCCAAATATGCTTGTACACCCTGCCAAAAATCTGCAAAAATCCATTAAAATCCTTTTAAAAATCCAGAGATCCACAAAGAAAATAAAATTCCGAAAATCCAATCAGATTCAGAAATGTGCAAGAAATGTCCGGTACCAAGTCAAAGAAATAAGGCCAACTCTGGCAACATCAGCGTTGAATCACATAACGGACTTACATTTTGGACGAAAATCTTTTAGATCAATCAAAGACATCATCGAAAGATACGATGATCTGGAATCCAGATCTGGATGATTCGGTGCAGTGAATACAGAGACTTCCCGTTGTTGTTGCTGTTACCGTTCATAATCATAGTTCCTCGCTGGCTGACAGTCATCTTTGGTAACACGAGTTCTGGTTCCAATCATCCCTTTATTTTTGTGCGCTAACAATCCCTTCCTTGACAAAAAGAAACGTGAAAAAGCCACATACCCTTCGCAAAAATCTACTGTATCTTGGCACGGCAGATGCGCAACGTAACGAGAACTTAACATTGGAAAGCCTGGAGACCAGCGCCTCGTTAGAAGAGACGATAATCCTTCATAAGAAGTCATTTTTAGGGAGAATACTTTACGAACTGGTTTACAGCACTTGCCACTGCTAATGAACTTTTCAAACAGCTCTCTGCAGAGCGAATGAATATAAAGTGTGCAGTGGGTCATGGCACCACCAAGCAATTGATGGTATGTGTTATGGAAACAGTTTGAGAGGCAAACGACTTGATAAACAAAAAAAGGTTTTGTAAGGTTTTTTTCAGCTCTATAGAAGGTATTTACAGATATTTGCTAGCACGTTGACTTTTTTATAGTTGAGTTGATAACATTTTTCAGAGACAGCTTGAAAAAATTGAAGCTGGGGGGCTGAGAATCACGCTTTAACGTAGGAGGACCTACCATGGTTGGGGCCGACGTGGAAGGAAATTTTTGAAATCATACCTTCTAAATAGCTATAAAAGCATCTCCCAGACCAGGTTTAACAAAATATTATACCGTTTAGGATAGACAAATCGACGTTTCTCAGAAAAGCACAGATTATCGTTTCTGGGAGAAATTGGGGATGGTAAGTGTGACGTTATTAGCCTCGTATTTATGTTATGTTGGGCATGCGCCCGGTTCGTTATGTTATGTTATATTATGTTATGCGTGAGAATATAAAATGGAGTATTGAAGTTCGAATTCGGGTGTTCTTTCGTTGTTATATACCGGATATTCTTACATGGTGTCAGGTGAAACACCCATCTTTGATGTTTAGGAGGTAAATGATTGCTTTGCTGGTTCTTGTTTCGCGATGACAGATCCAGATCCAATCGTGCCTGGGCCTAGTGCTTCCTCTGAAGGAAATAGCGGAACATCGGCGTTCATATCTAACGTGCCATTACCCCCACGATTAAGCTTAGAAGGGAATTTGGCAGAGAATTGGAAGCAATGGAAGCAAATTTATGATGCGTACGAAACTGTTACGAATTTGAAGTCTAAACCAGACAATTTTCGAGTGGCTGCTTTCATCACTTGCATAGGACCGGAAGCTCTTCGAATACACAATTCACTTCCGTACCAGGAGGAGGGTGAACGTCAAAACATTGAGCGAATCTTCGAATTATGGAATACTTACTGTATTGGAGAAACAAATGTGATTTACGAACGGTATAAATTCAATAATTGTACACAGGGCCCTACAGAGTCAATTGAAACTTATGCGGCTTCTTTGCGTGCCCTCGCAGCCACATGTGCATTTGGACCACTTAATGATGAGTTGATACGTGACCGAATTGTTTGTGGCATTCACAACAATGCTGTGCGACGTAAGCTACTGCAAGAACCAAAACTCTCATTATCTAAATGCATTGACTTATGCAGGGCCACAGAAACAACTACTGCTCAAGCAAAAATAATGGCTGGCCAAGATGATAATCACGACCTCATGGCCCATTATGTTGGAAAGCAAAGCAGCCCAAGGAAGACCACTGGAGACACAAGAGGTTTTATTTCCGACTGCAAATTTTGTGGGCGTAGCCATAAAAGAAACAAAGAAAGTTGCCCAGCCTTTTGCAGATATTGTTCTGGTTGTGGTAAGAGAAACCATTTTGTTGAGAAGTGCAGCTTGAAGAAATCACCACGTATGAGAGATAATTTTCTAAAGCCAAAATACATGCAGTGAAGGAAGAAAACACTTCAAGTGATGATGAAATTCTCATTGTTGAAATTTCACCCAAAAATAATCTGGCAATCAATGCTGTGTCCCAGTCCCCTCCTAAGAACAAAATTTTTGCCTCCATGATTATAAAAGGCAGGCAAATTAGTTTTCAAATTGACTCAGGTGCTACCTGTAATGTCCTTCCAGAACACTTCGTTCCTCCAGGCACGAAAGTTGAAAAATCGGATCACTCTTTGCGCCTGTACAGCCAAGCCTTGTTACCGATAAATGGTATTTGTAAACTTAAGGTAGTAAACCCAAAGATCCAGACTGAGTACACTGTCAGATTTGTTGTTGTAAAAGGTGACTATGTGCCATTATTAGGAGCTAATGCAGCACAAAAGATGGGACTTCTGACTGTTAATTATGCTAATATCTTTAACGCAAATGTAGATAATGTTAGCTCTAACAGTATTGCTTCAAACAGCACACATCAACAGGCACAACCAACGGTTGTCATGGAAACAGTCTTATCGACCACCGCAGTGGCTCCACTCAGTATTGCAGATATAGAGAACCGTTTTGGAGATGTCTTTGAAGGTCTGGGTCACATGCCAGGCAAATTGCACTTAGATGTTGATGAGTCACAAACCCCTGTTGTCATGCCGCCTCGCAGAGTACCAATCGCTCTTAAAGCAAAACTCAAGGCTGAATTGGAAAGACTGGAAAATCTTCATGTCATTCAGAAAGTTACAAGTCCAACAGATTGGGTATCAAATCTCGTCATTGCAGAAAAACCAAATGGGAAACTGAGGGTGTGCATCGATCCACAACACCTCAACAAAGCATTGAAAAGAAGTCATTATCCTTTACCGCTCATTGAGGATGTGCTACCAGAGCTAGAAGGTGTCAAGGTATTCAGCAAAATCGACCTGAAGGAAGGGTACCTTCAAATAGAGCTCGATGAAGAATCAAGCATGCTCACAACGTTCCAGACACCATGGGGGCGTTGGAGGTACCTCAGGATGCCATTTGGAATTAAACCAGCTTCAGAACATTTTCAACACAAATTTGATCAGTGCATTGAAGGCCCATCTGGAGTGTATGCAGTCGCTGACGATGCTCTTGTTACCGGAAGAGGAGAAACTTACGAAGAAGCTGTCAAAAATCATGACATGAACATGCTGGCACTTTTGAAACGTTGTCAACAAAAAAACATCAAGCTGAACAAGGACAAATTCAAGTTCAAATCCGATAAAGTTTCCTTCATTGGCCATACCCTAACACAGAATGGTCTTAAAATAGACCCCGCAAAAGTTGAAGCCATCACAAAGATGAGCAAGCCGAAAGATGTCGCTGGTGTACAAAGGTTCATTGGCATGGTAAAATACCTGGCCAAGTTTCTTCCCAGACTATCTGAAGTATGCGAACCTCTGAGAAATTTGACCCACAAAGATGCACCATGGGTATGGGAAAAAGATCATGACAAGTCTTTTGCTGACATACAAAAAGCAATTTGTGAGGCACCAGTTCTAAAGTATTTTGACCATAAGGCAGCAACAGAAGGCCAGGCTGATGCATCATCAAAGGGGCTTGGTTTCGTGCTCATGCAAGAGGGACGTCCCGTGTCATATGCAAGCAGAGCCCTCACCCCTGCAGAGCAAAATTACAGCCAAATAGAGAAGGAGCTGCTTGCACAAGTATTTGGAGTGGAACATCACCATACCTATGTCTATGGCAGAGAGATTACACTTTGGACGGATCACAAACCACTTGTCTCAATCGTCAGCAAACCACTCGCCTCTGCTCCAAAGAGACTGCAAAGGTTGCTACTAAGATTGCAATCATACGATGTTAAAATCTGCTATAAACCTGGCAAAGAAATTGTTCTAGCAGACACACTCTCTCGTGCATACCTGCCGACAAGTGAGAGACAAAAGTCCGCAACTGAAGAAGAAGTCGAAACTATCCACATGTCAAATTATCTCCCCATCTCTGAGCCACAGCTGAAGGAAATACAGCGAGAAACCAAATGTGACAGCACTTTACAAGCACTGAAAGAAATAATTTTGAATGGGTGGCCAGAAAGAAAAGATACCCTTCCTCGATGTATTCATCCATACTTCTCAATTAGAGACGAGCTAGCAACACAGGATGACGTAATATTCAAGGGTCAG